CTTCAATAAGGTCACCTTTCTTGTCTCAATTGTGAGAGGATTGGACAGCTTTGCTTCAAATTGATCTGCTTATTTTCAGTTCTACAGAGACATCATGGTTCTTTATATCCAGTTAAAGATATCGGGGGTAAATCCTCTTTGAAGGTTGCATCTTTGATATATCTTTCCATCTTCAAGACTTCTTTGTCATCTAATCTTGAAAAAGTGTTTCATTTGTTAGGGGTGCCTGTTGCCTTTTATGCTGATGGGCTTGCTTTTTTCTGACAATATTTGGGTTTGCTTACCAGTATCACGGAAACACAATATAATCAAAGCATTTCTCTAAATGGATAAAATCTATTGTGTTTTAGGTGATAAGACAAACATGCTTCTGTGGGCATAAAAGGACACTTTATAACAGCAACAGTTTGTTTCTAGTATTTTTTGATTGATACCACAAAGTCAATTCAAACAATCACTCTGTCTTAGGTATGCTGCTCTTTCTTCTGTTCTTGTGTAATATGAACACCTATCCTCTTGTGCTGACCAGGGAGTTTACTGTCATCCAAATACATTTTTTAACTGGTGTTCTTATTCAGCCGTGCATGCATATAGCCTACCTAAGTTTACCATTTGCAAGTGTTTATGCTAATAGATACTTGGATTTCATGTTGCTTCAGTACTCAAGCAAATGAGATGAACGTGGGATGACACTTTGTATATATACATGTGATTTTTTTTACCAAAATATCACCTCCAGAAGTTTCCGAATAAAGACTCTGGGCAGAAAAATATGTGAATGTACAATGATTAATTAAAATAGCACAATTACAAGACTTATTCTTTCTCCTTCACAAATCTGTAGATACAAATCATTGTATCTACATGTATGTTATTCTAAGTTATTTTTCCCCTGAACAGAATTGAATCAGTTATGGGAAAGATCCTTTCAGTAATTCTCATTCAGTATAAATTGTGTGGAATGTCAATAGAATGGCTTTTTTTATATTGTGAAGGAAAACCCAAGAAGAACATGCTGTAGTTTCTCTTACCTGGTCTGGGTCTTTGGACATTTTCTTCATACCATGAAAGGAATCAAACCGGAAGGGCAAGATAAAACACATTGACTTTTAAAGTATTTTTAAAGGACTACTGCATCCTTTTTGAGACGAGAAATACTTTTAAAACCAAGCCCTTAATGTCCTATGTTCTAGACAGCTGTTGCTCATAGGAGTCCACAGTTTTATTCCTATCTGTGAAGTTGTGGATATTTAAAGTCTTAATGGGTGAAGTAAATAAATAAACTTTATTACAGTCATTAGCCAGCCAAAAACAAACAAAAAACACAGTTTCCAAAACAGTAAGTAAAAACCAAAGTAAAAACCAATAATTAAACTAGTGTGGACAAAAACATTTTGTCAATGTAAAAAAAATGTACCCACATTTGTAGCAATAAAATCATATTAATTGGATAGTAAAGGTTATATATAAGAAAGATCTGGTAATCTGGATAGCTAACCAGATGGATAGTTAGTATCTGCAGTTGGGCATCTTTATAATGGAAGCATTATGGCAAAACAGGAGTCAGGAGTTCCTTCACCACAGGGGCAAAGTCTTTGTTCAGATGGGATACCCTGCAGTTTCCCCCAGGAATAGCTGTTGGGAGAACGTTAACTTTGCCTGAGTTCAGCTCTTTGAATTTGGGTTATGTGATTTGGCATCTTGAAAAAAGGTGAATGACTATCTAAGAATACATCTTTGGGTATGGCAGTGAGGTCTGATTGGGCTTCCTAATCCTGGCCATGTTTAAAAGCTGCCCCTAAGTGCTCATATACCATCTTCAAGATTGCATTAAGTGAAAAAGTATAGCACTTCAATTTCTCACGCAGTGTTCTACCCCAGGATTAAACAAAGTCAACACTTAAAGTCAGAAGTAACAAGCTCATGAGTAAAGAAATCAACTTAACAAATAACAGAGGACAAATATCCAAATATAAGTTTCAGTGTTGATCCCACCAGCCTCATGAACAAAGCCACATTTGGAACACATTTTGGGACTTGAAATGTGTTATTTAAGAATTTAGATTGCACCCTTTAAAAGAGTGGAGAAGCCATATGGTCCCAGTTAGGTTCTTAACAAAAGCCGGGCCTGCACATTGGCTGAAAATACTTTTCAGCACTAGAACACTAATATGAATATTGCATTGCTTGTATAATGCAAGACTTGTCTGCATTTTGGAAGACATAATCCACAAGTGCCCTGCATTTATTGACATACTACTAGCATGACATTCTATCAGTAAATTCTTAAAAATGTGTTACCAAGCAAAATTTTTAGAGTGCTTAGTACATAATAGCAAATCTTAGGTTCAAGCTGTCAAATCTAAATCAAATCACAGTATCCAAATTTAATGTCCTTCCAATAACTTTCCTGAGGGGAAATTACAGGATATCTGAGTTTTTTGCATAATTATGTTTAAATCTTATGCACTATAATGTGCAGCTAAGCATGTAAAGCTTGCTTTAGATCATTTTGTGTCTGAGATAACAGCACTGCATCATTTGCATATAGGAGAACTGCAGTGTTTCTATCACTCAGTTTTGGAGGACGATTAGCTAGATTATTTATCTTGGCCACAAGAGGACTCAGACATAGCCTGAATACTAGTGAAGCCAAGATACATCTTTGCCTCTACTGACAAAAAATTCCTTAGTGGCAGGAATAAAAATAAAATGGCTCCAGAAATGAATATGTTTTTAATGATTTCAAGTGTAGTAAGTAGAATATTTTACTGTCAAAGAAAATTGTTAATTAAGCTGTGATATTTACCAAATCTGTAAAAACATTTCTATTTGTCCTTCAACAGTCCTTGAGAAAAGGACTGCGTCTTTTCCTGATGCCCGTGTACTTAGAATTCATTCAGATACCACAAAATCAGTTAATATGTATCACTAAGCTTCCATATGTTTTAATAAGCCTTTAAATGAAGAATTGAGAGAATATTGCATCTTTTCTATTGCTCTACCAATAACTTAAAATATCGAAGTGACACTGCATCCATCAAATTGACATACTGTCAATAACAGCCACTTAATATAACCATTAAATTAGTGACTGACATAAACCACCACATCCATAAAGGAAAATTCTCTCCCCTCCACTTTTTCCTTCATATATTAGTCTCTTTTTAATCTCTCCTGTATTTATTCTCCCTCCCTTAACATATTTTTTAGGGGAAAATCTTGACCGGAATCAGGATAGTATCTTCATTGTCTTTTAGCTGGTTAGCCGTTATTATTGTTCAGGAGGATTAGATTGAGGGTAGGACTTGGGATCAAAGAAACAAATAAAATGGCAGAATTTAGATAACGCCAATATTCAGAATTGGTGCAATTTCTATGTCTTTTTGGTTTTAATCAAAACCTCTCATCATCAGATGCATTTTTAATTTATTTTAACATACATTCCACGTAAAGATTCATTTTATGATTTTGCAACCATATGATATAATGTATGTGTCATTATACTAAAGAAAAATTATTCTTTATTTATTCAGCATTAGCATTTGAAAATGACATCAAAGAAGAGAGCCCCAAGACAAATCAGTTACTTTTCTTTAAGCAGCTACAAGTCAATCTGCTACCACTATATACCACTATAGCTTATTCTTGTTATATTTTATTCTGAAAAGAGAATCTGTTCCACTTTGCAAAGTGGAAGAAAAAAGTGCTCAATAGCTTCCTGTGAGACATTTCATTTATAATTCATTTTTGCTGGGTATTTAAAGTGCTTGAACTGTTGCCTTTTTCAAGTCTTTTAATAACTTAGCTTTAATATCTTAAATATAACTGGAAAAATTGAGTCATGCTCCAAATCTCTCTCAGACATGCAGTGAATACTTCAGAAGCAAAAATGTCCAATTGCAATCATTAGATTTTTCAACTAATACAGTGTAAGTGCTCCAAAATCAAAGTATTCTAAAATATTTTGTGTTGCAACAGTATTGTGTTATATTAGGCGCACTCATTTTTATCTTATCATTTAGATCTGTAAGATCAGAAAATACAATCGATTCTGAATATTTCTGTTGTTTTAAAGTTATAAGGAATCTGATATCACTGTTTTGGACTAATACATTTTATTAAAATGCATAAGCTTTCATGAGTTGCAGCTCACTTCATCAGAATGACTGGATAGACAGATGTAGGATTTAAATTGGGGTAAAACCCTGATGAGGAAAAAGATTGAGGTTATGGCATGTAAAACAGATTACAAATTAATAATTGTAATGTGTTTAAAACCCATTGTGTTTATTGAAATGTTCTGAGACTGCCAAAAACTTTAGATATATGTAAGTTCAGCAGTTTCTTGCTAAGGGATGGACTTAATCCTGCTTTTCTAAAACAGTATCTGATACTACTTTGGCCTCATTTGGAGTCCTGATGTGAAATTTCTGTTCATTAATTCTTTGAAGAAAATTTGTCCAGTTTGTTCTACATAAAATCTAGAAGGTACATTGCAGATGTTGGAATATATGACATAAGATGAAGAGTATGTATAAATTCCTTTAATCTTGCACACGTACTAGTTTGGTGATGGGGTTGCTGGTGTAGACCAGGTAACAAATAGATGTCTGGGATTGTGGCGCTGTATCCTTCCATGTTTGTTATGAGAATCTGCTTCAGGTTCACTATGCATCTGATAAAATGAGCTGAATATTATAAAAGCATATGCCTTTTAATAAAATAAACTGTTAGTTGTAAAAGATTAATTTCTTCCTCTTAATTTTTTGCCACCAAAGACTTATATGATTCTCCTCCTATGGAATTTTAACCATATATCTCTATCCCTCACTATACCTTTGTGATTAGTTAGTGTTCCTGGAAAATGGAGATTCAAAAGATTGATTTTAATTTGCTTATATAAAATGTTGGTTGAACAATTCTAGAAAAGTTTTATAAATTATGAATTAACCCAAATAACATACATTTTTTTTCTTCTCTTTTTCTGTGTTGTTCAGTGCATCTTTCACGAGAACCTGGCTGGTTAGAAGGAACTCTAAATGGGAAGAGAGGACTCATTCCGCAAAACTATGTCCAGTTTCTTTAGTTTTCTTCTGAATGCTTGGAAGATGTACATGGTATCCATGGCTATAGACAGATAGACATTGTATATTGCTTTTCTAGGCCTCAGAAACTTTTAATCAGTAAAAAGTTTAAGATTAATACCTTAATCTGTATAAAGATTTAACTGCAGTTGCATGTAATTTTATATGTAGAAGGGAGAGAGACAGAGAAGGAAATTTAATTTTATAAATAATACTTTGTAAAGATTTAGAGTTATATGTATGTTTGCATGTATGTGTTTGTAAGAACTTGAATCAAAAAGCCATTTAAATTGTTAGTCAAATTACCAGTTAAAAAAGATCATAAAACTGTTTAATCTGCTTTTGTATTTTAAATGTGAAGGGTATAAAACTTTGGAAAGTGGACTCAAATAACTTCTTTGCAAATATTACAAACCAAAACTGTTGGGAAATATCCATATGGCCAATTCGTTGCGAAGGTTGTAGTTGATCTAAAAAAGGCAAAGTTCTTCAAGCTGAGCACAAGTCCAGATGACTTCAGGAATGCAGCCATATAACTTACTTAGCAGCAGTATGGAAATGGTTTTCTGTTGCCTTATGGGGTTTTCTTTTTTATTTCTGCTGTAATCTCCAATCCAATCTTTAAGGACTCCATCTGAGTACTAACTAGACTGAATCCAACGTATTAATTTGGAATTCCCCTTAGTTTGAAAATGAATAAATCAGATGGAAAAAAGGATGATTTAAAATCTACAGAAGGAATGAATCAAATGTAATTTTCAAATGTCCAAAGTATAAAAATAAATTATTCAAATTATATAGTTTCACTTAAATGTGTATATACGTTGAATGCCAAAGCTTAGGCAATACTGCATGTTTTGGTTAATAACTACCATGTTTCCCCGAAAATAAGACCCGGTCTTTTTTTGGGGGGGCACCAAAAGATTCATTAGGGCTTATTTTCAGGGAAACACAGTATCAGAGAAATCAGCCCGGCTGCCCTCCCCCGGTGCATGCACAATGGTGTCCAGCTGCAGCCTGCCGGCCCCTTGTCACAACACAGGTAAGTCCAAGCACGGAGGCAGAGGGGAGTAGGTGATCCAGACACACTGTTCGGCTGTCTGGCTTGCGGGAGGCTCATGCAAAGGCATGGGCAGCAGGAGGAAGCAGAGGTACAGGGGGAAACAGACAACCCGGACAACCTGTGCAGCCGTCTGGCTCACAGGAGGCGCGCGGGGCGGCACAGGCAAAGGCAGAGGCAAGTGGGAAAAGACAAGCGATGACACACCACATAACCACCTGCCCAGTGCAGCCGCAGACAAGCCAACAGATGGTGGGACGGAGTGGGCGGCATGTTGGGATCATCTGCCTCCCCCCGTCCTTCTGCTTCCGCCTTCTGGTGCTGCCACATGAGCCTCCCGTGAGCCAGGCAGCCACGCAACACATCCGGATTGCCTCTGCCTCTGCACTTGGACTTACCTGTGCTCCATGGGCAGTGGCTACTGCCAGACACTGTCAGCCCCACCTGCTTGCCGCTTCCTGTGGTAGCCATACTCACCCCCCAGGCTTATTTTTGGGGTAGGGCTTATATTAGGTCCACCCTAAAAAATCAGGCTAGGATTTATTTTCTGGGTGAGTCTTATTTTCAGGGAAACATGGTATGTGGACAAAAGTTGATATTTCTACAGGATACAAAGTTAAGTAAGCATTTTACTGAAAATTTAAATGCATGCTTACTATATATGCATCTGTTTACAAATTCAAAGACAATGAAAATTGGTTATGGTAGGTGCAGAAGTTTGGATGTTCTTTCGTCAGTCAGTCACCTCTTCAAGAAAAATGATTTCCAGGTGTAGACAACTACAAATTTTTCTCTTTGTGTCCTTCAAACTTATATTACCTTCCTTGTAGAATTCTTGTAGCTCAGAAATTTCCTTAGCATTTCCTCAAGTAATTTCAGTTTCTTTTATGACTAGACATTATCTTCTAGATTATGTTGATGGGGAGTTGAAAGTTCTGCCTTCAGTATTCACCATTTTATTATTCTATGTAATCAACTACACACAAATACTATGTGTGCATTTAAATTTACAGACCTATTCATGTATAACTTTGTACCATGCAGAGATTGAGTCAGCTTCTCTTCGCTAAGGATTCATTAAAATATAATTTAACCAGGGTTGCCAATTTTTTTATGATTAAAATGAAATATGAATTGTAACTTATTATTGATTTGAGAACTTTTTCTTTACTGTCTTCAAAAACAGTTTTTACAAGTTTCCAATCATTGGTGAAATTAAGGACTTTCTTTTCATGTTCAACCAAGAAGTGTTTAAGTCCTATGGATATAATGTAAAGGAACTGAATGGATGGTGACTACTTAATTCTTTTTCATGTAGCTGTTTGTCATGAATCTTCTCTGACCAGATTTTCCAAACAGAAGATGAAAAATACAGATTAACTGTATCTTTCTATAATAATGTAGTTTTTATTACCCCCTAGCTAGTTTGGGCTTTTTAATAGTAATACATGAAAAATATTATAATATATTGTTCACTGTAATATAAATTTCCACATTTTAGGTAATGATATCACTTAAACCTACCACTTTTTAAAGAAAAATAGTTGGAAGTAATGGGATTTTGAGGACAGGAAATAGAAACAGTGGAATATTAATTTTAAGTTCTTGAATAATGGTTTCTACCAATGTGTAAATCGACTGATCTTACATTGCATGATCCGTAAATTTTTGATAATTTTCAGCCGTAGCTGCACTGTTCAGTGGGGAAATGCTGGTTCTGACATAGTGAGAGAAAAATTATTTGGTGGTTGATTTGTGAAATGCTACATTCAAAGCAGCACTTTTCAACATTTTGTTTGCTTAAATTGTTTCAGAATTGACTTCTACTACATCTTTCCATCTGTATAATGCATAGGTGGAACCTAATCTATTACAAACTGGAGTGTGCCTTTCCCTAAGTATATGTATACATAACTTTGTGCAGCTTTGTAAACCAAGGCTTGACCACAACATAGTTGATGGCAAAATGCTTATTAAGAAAAGAATGATAAATTTTTCCCAGATAGAGTGGATCACTATCTTCTTTGGAACTATGGGCATCAGCACACTAAGACTGTTTATGCTATAAACATGATCTGGAGCAAGTACAACAGCCGTATATTTTTTTTCATCTTCTGTGGAAATCTGAAAAAGAAACACCATGGCTGCTCTTGTCAATAGCAGAAAGGTGTTGTGCATGTACAGTTTCTAAAGCACTACTTTTGAATCAATTTTGACATGCAGACTGCATAAATGAAGTAAAGGGTATTTAAACATGTTTCAAGGTTGCAATAATAATAGCTACAGTTCATCCTCAATAAAGCTGGTTACCATGCACGCACATTAGTAGGAAGTAAATATACATTTGCTTCATAAACAAAAATTGGATCCCATGATCTGTGCATTTTACTAGACTGCAAAAAAGCTGTGTTATAATGAAGAAAATTTGGCACAACCAATTTTTAAATAAATTCATAGGAGTACAAGATCTTTGCTATTGTTATCCTTAATCAAATTAAAATGGTTTGAAAAGCAAATCATAGCTAACAATACTTTTACACTGTTTTCTTTAATTAGATTTAACTCACAATCATTGGCTGCTCTTTTGTCCAGAACTGTACAGCATTCTGTACACAGATTATTTCCAGATGACACAGTTGTAATCCAACATAGTGTTGCTTTTTTAGTCCAACTGGAACTCTCCCAGACTGTGGGGCATTAATATAGTTCTTGGTATCTAAAGCTATAATCAGTACCAGATAGCTTAAAGGTGATTCTACTTGGGAGATCATCAAGCAGTTTGGAAATATTACCCCAAACAGCACAGATGCCTGTGGAATAATGTAATGGAAATCAGGTTGTCTGTTTGAACTATTAGAAGGGCATTTGAGACACACACAGTTCTGAGCTTCATTTATCTCTTATTCTTTTTCCCAGTATGATTGTACTCAAGGGACATAGAATCTCTGTGATGCCTTCGGCTAACACAAAACACTATGCTCATAGTTTCCTCATGCAGGCATGATTAATCAAGATTCTCTGGGTGATGTATAAGAAACTACAGTCCTTTTCACAATTTCATAGAATAGCTAAGAATGAGGGCAACAAGCATCATTCTACTCTTCCTCATGTTTGGGGTAGAGTAATTTAGATTGCTAATTAGGCATCATTTAGTTACATCTTTCTAATGAAAGGATCCAATTCAAGAGTTGAAAATAATAACCATTTCTCAGTGAGGCAGTATTACTAGAAACGAGCAGAAATAGGCTTCTACTCGAATGCTGGTTTGTAGCAAAACTTGATTTTTTCTCAGAATGTGCTATTAATGTGTAAGCATTATATATTATTATGTAAGTGATGTGATGCTTGGGTAATTATGAGGGGCCAATGCTCATGCCCTTTCCCTGCATAGGATCTAGAACCAGAAACAGACCAAAGAATTGCTGCATAATCTACTGTTATAGTAAATGTTTATGCTGTAGGAGCCACACAGTCCATTGACTTACAACTTTTAGTGACCATTTGAAGTTACAATGGCACTGAAAAAAGTGATAACCGTTTTTCACACAACCGTTGCAGCATCACCATGGTCACCTGATCAAAATTCAGAAGCTTGGCAATTTATGACAATTGCAGTATCCTAGGGTCATGTGATCAGCTTTGCCAATCTTCTGACCAGCAAAGCCAATGGGAAAGCCAGATTCACTTAATAGCCGTGTTATTAACTTAAGAACTACACTGATACAGAATGTCAGAATTGGAACAGACCTTGGAGATCTTCTATCTAGTCCAATGCCCTGCACAAGCAGGAGACCATTATGTAAAATGGCTGTCAGATCTCTTCTTAAAAACCTCCAGTGATGGAGCACCCACAACTTCTAAAGGCAAGTTATTCCACTGGTTAATTGTTCTCTGTCAAGAAATTTCCCCTTGGTTCTAGGTTGGCTCTCTCCTTGATTGGTTTACATCCATTGCTCTCT